GGACTCCTGCCAGGGCCTGGTAGGTCTGAAGGAGCCTAGCCAGGCATGCCAACCTTTCTCCCGCCTCCCATCCTATCCGGCTTTCCAAAGGGCCTTAGGGAAGGCACATCCCTGCCCCCGGCCCATGCTGCCCTGCTGGGATCAGATGCCTCGCTCGGCCCAGGCAGCTGAAAATGACCTGGGCTATTTTCGCTCCGGTGTCGTGTTACAACTCCCCCTTTGAGCTGGCTGCTGCCCACACCTCTCCAGACCATGGATCCTACCCTCACTCATCTCTCACCCATAATCACTGACTAACAGGATACAAGGGCTCTTAACTGGCCTAAGCTCTTCATGACTGAGGCCATGGGGAGCCAGTCATGGGCCTGGGCAGAGAACCAGGCTCCCTGAGTTCCAGCCCAGGTCTCTAACAGCCTGCTCTGTACCCTGGATGCCAGAGCCTCTGACCCAGCCAACCTCCCCCAAGCACCAGAAGTCACATTGGAGGCTACCCATAAGTCCCTGGGCCACTCCGCATGTCAGAAACTGCCCCTGCCACGCTCTTCTCTTTGTTCAGAATTGGTGTCAGGTCTGTACACCTATGGCACAGACACGTGGGCCTACCTGGAAGGTTTGCGGGTGGATGAAGTGGGAGAAAAGACAGGGAGACTGAAGCCTGGATAGGAGGATTCAGACGTCAGGCCCAGCTGCCCCCTTCCATTCCTATCCACTCAACTCCCTCCAGGCCTCTGCCCCTGCCCTCTCTCTGCCTTAAGCTCCAACCCTCCTGGGAAGGAATGTGACTGGTCAGGTCTGAGCTGACCAAGAGTGGTTACAAGGTGACAGACGCCCCCCATACTCCCATGCCCCCAGCCTAGGGGAGCTCACATACCAAGATGGGGGGCAGTTTAACCCTTTGCAGTCTGGTTTTCAGGAAGAAAAGATGGGTTCTCTACTTCCTTTGACCAATGCTATATATAAAACGGCTTCATGGAGGGTGGGTAGGACGTGTTCCTGCACAACCTCCTTGTCCAGTAGGATGGGGGCATCTGTCTGCCTGGCTACTCTTTATTAAGAAATCCCTTGACACCCTAAATGTTTCGTCTCATCTCCCATAATATGGGAAAACAGCCAGTGTTGCCGAGGGCAGAGGGGAGGCTTCATGAACCCCAACCTCGGGAGCCCCTAGTCCGATGGGAGAAATACAACCCAGCCCTGGGGAGAAGACCAGGCACAGAGGCTGGGACAAAGAGGTGCGGGCAACAGGGGCCCTGAGCTGCCTCCCAAGTGAGAGGAAGCCAGCACGCAGGACAACCAGCCAGGTGGGGTCAGACCGGGCAGGGTTCCCGGAGGCCCTTGGCCTTACACCCCTCCCCCCAGGCTCTGGAATCTCGGGGGTCAGGGCTGAGGGACAGCTCCACCCCCTGCTCCCCTCAGGCTCAGGAATTCCACCCGCAAATGTGGGGGGGGGCGGCGGCGGCGGCTTCGGACTCTGTCCAAGTTGGGCTCCCACTGGATTGGGAAAGCAGCTCCTCCTCACCCCCACCCCCCACCCAAGCCCCTAAGGCTGGCCCCCAGCCCTCTTCTCTCCCCCCTGCCTGGGCTGGCATGGTGTGTGCCAGGCGCTGGCAGAAAACAAACCCGCCGGGGTGGGTTTGCAGGGAGCGGGGTAACCTTGACACAGTTGCAGTAGTCGTTAATGGCAGACACACACGCCGCCTGTTCTGGGGGGACTGTTGCCGTTGCTAGGGAACCGGCAGCCGCGTGAATGGAAATGGGTCAGTAAACCTGGGGAGAGATAGTGTGACACTCGAACCACTGCAGCTGCTCCAGCCCACACCGAAATCCCTCCTCTTCAATATTTATCACTCCCGCCTGGGCCCTCAGCTCCTGCCAGACCCTGCACCAGCCTGGCCCTCGGGCCCCCCCAAGGCCTGATAAGGGTAGGGGGAGGAAAAAAAAAAACGATGGATGGGGTTGCTTATCCACTGTTGGGGTGGGAGGTGAGTCGGGATGGAACTGGTTCTGGAGGAGATTGAACAGGAAACAGAATCTAATCCCGTGGTGGGGAAGGGGTTAAAAGGTCAATTCACGCCTGTTCCTGACTTAGGCACCGTGGTAAAATTCCTGGGAGTGAGCGGCCTAGCGGCTGCCTGTTACCTGCACAAGCACTAGAAAAGGCAGACTTCCCGCCTCTCTTCACCCAGTTTTGGGGGCTCCCTCTAGGTGGGGACTAGAAGAGAACACGACCAGGACTGATTGGCAGCCTGAAAAATACCAATCAATAGGCCCGGACAGACAGCATCCCAAACGACCAGGGGCTGCCTACTTACAACACAGACCTCCACTGATACACCTTCCAGATAACTCACTGCTCAGGAAACCTAGACAACAGCCCCACACAGGAACCCTCACAATAGAACATAGCCTGCGAGTCAGAATAGTGTCCTTCAGCTCAACTCCCACCACCAAGGAGACAAACCTAGGCACAGGCTAAACTCTCCTACCCACGAGGCTGTCCAGCACTGACTCAAAGCCAACTCCTCTACCCTGTTTTCCCTCCTCCCCACGGCCAGCCTCCTTGTCTAGAGCACACCCCAATCCACTGGCGCGCTGTGATGACTCTTGGGCACACATCCACAAGTTAGCAGCCCCATGCCCAGCACCCCATCCCTAGAGGCTGACTGGTCCCTGACACACACATTCCTTTCCTCTCGAAGCATGCGGCCTCACAGCCCTGCCTGGCACAAGCCCTCATTCTTGAGCACAGGCCTCTCTTCAGATACCAGGAACCCTGGGAGTCAGCAACACTTCTCATTTGGGTGACATGCCCCCTCCACCCACCACGATTTCCGTCAGAATCCCTGAAGGGTGTGTTTCAGCAAGGAAGGCACTCTGGCTTTCTGGGGGGGTGGGGTGGGGGGATACCTTGACAGGGATCTCCCAGCCAACTTGGTTCTCTGTGTGCTATCTCCTAGGATACATCAGTCAACACAGGCTTGGAGCCTGTCAGAGCTAGAAGGTGCCTGAGGGAGTCACTAATCCAGCCTCTGTGTCAAGCAGAAAGGAACAGAGACTCTGAGGAGAAATCACCCGCTCAAAGTCACACAGCCTAGCTGCTGGTTGCGGCTTTTTTTTCTTTCATTCAGTCCATTTCTGTGAGCCCTCTACGGGCATGAGAGAAACTAGCCGGATACAAGCCTTGTTGCCTTCCAGTGGGACCTGTTTTACAGCCTGCTGCCTACTCCTTACCACAGGCTCCAACACTTTCTGCTTCTGCAGAACAGGCTGCCCCTGTGTGCTGGGCAGAGTGGGCTGTGCCGGGCTCAGTCCAGACATGGGGCAAGTTCCTGAACTTTGTGTCCGGGATCCCAGGGCACTACCAGAGCCCAAAGAAGCTTCCTCTGTTCCCTCTACCTGTCTTCAAAGCAAAATCCCTTGAGTGCCAAGGCATCCCTGTCTTGTATTATTTAAGTAGATCTCTGCCAGGATGCCTCTAGGATGATGATGAGGTATTCAAGGTATATACAGCCACATACATAATACCTGGTGGTGTTGGGGGTTAAATGCAAGCAAGGCTTTGGGCCAGAGGCAAGCACCTGAAGAATCTGCTCCATCTCTGGCCTTTCCTAAGTAGTTTTTGCAGAAAGGCAAAGCGGGGTTCACAGAGGTAGGCCTCAAGTTTACAGTTGAATGGCATGTTTTTTTGCTGTTGTTTTGAGGCAGGGTCTCACTGTGTAGCCCTGGCTGGCTTCAAACTCACAGAGATCCACCCGCCTCTGCCTCCCAAGTGCTAGGATTAAAGCCATGCACCATCGGGGCCTATTGAAATGAATCTCGAACCCCCCCCACCCCAGTACCCTCGTCTTTCCCAGTGGGCAAGGAAGGCCAAGCAAACCGAAAACAGACCTGGGGAAGGTGGGGGTGGGGAGAGGGTGGGAACAACACAGGCCCAGGTGTACTTCCTGGGCTGAAGTGGAGCCTAGGGGAATTTGAATTTGAATCTGCACATCTGGCCGTGGCCGAGTAAAGTGAGCCAGGAGCCCCAAAGGAAGAATCCCACTGACCTTAAGCCTGCCTGGGCCCTACACCTGGAGAAGCCAAGCTTTGTGTTCTGCCAGCCCCATCCCCCAGCGGAACAGTGGGAGCATCCGGAGGAGACCAGCCCCCTCCTAGGGCATCAGTTTCCAGGCCATACTTGGGGAAGGGCTTTAATTTCAAGCATAGTGGCCAGAACTCAGCTCCCAGCACTCTAAAGGTCCTCTTGCCCCAGCGTAGAGCGAGCTGAGACCAACAACAGAAAGCGTGAGTTTAATGAATAAATGAACACTCAATAAAGCCAATCTTTCCCTTCCCATCCTTCCCAAGAGGCACTGCTTACCTTGGGAAGCCACATTTCACAGGTCCGGTGGAGGGTAGGTAGGACTAACAATGCTTTAGGGGTGGCCGCCTCACTCTCCTAAGCCGGACTGCATGTTACTCAGGTGTGCTTACTATGGGTAGGCATCACACTAATTCGCAAGTGCCAACTGCAAGCTCCACAAGGCCCAGGCCTGCCTACTAGCGTCTAGTTTTTCAGAGAGAAAAGAAAACTCAGGAGTGACGAGACTTTCCCAGGGTCACCGAACAGTGAGTGCACTAGATACAGAAGAGAGCCAGCCGGCCTACCACGGCTGCTCCGCTTTAACGCGGTGAGCTCGGTGGGGGCGGGAATTGTAACTGAACCGGGGCCTTGGGCTGGGAGTGGCCAAACGGTTCATCCGTCTCCATCTACAGAGCTCAACCAAACGGTGCTGGAATTAGGCAAAGTTGTGGGAAAACGATCCCTTAACCCTTCCCCCCCTCCCCATCAGTGCCCAGAGTGAGCCCTGAGAGGTCACTTACCAACTCCCCTGGATTTCAGGGCTCCGGCCAAAGGGAGGCCCTCCCTCCGGGGTCCCTTTTCCTGGACTCTCTGACCTGCAAGGTTCAGAGTGGCCCCTCAAAGCAAGCTGCTGCGGGCGCTGGGGAAACGATCCAGGATGTTTCCAGCGGTCCGCCGCCCACTGGCTCGGTCGTTGCGAGAGGGGGGGGGGAGGCCGAGAGAGGACTGCCTCGCCTCCCTCCTACAGGGGAGCCCTTCGACGGCTCAGCTCGAGCAGGAGGCGCGGGCCTGGCGGCCGGAGGGATCCGCTCCCGAGTTTTCCCGTCGCTGCCCCTCGAGCTACCTGGCCGGCCCCGGTGCCTGCGCCTGCGCCCCCGCCCCCTCCCCAGGAGGCCGCAGGGCTGGTGACTCTTGCAGAGGTGACGGGCCGAGAGGGAAACCAGGCGGCTGGGGGAGGGGCGTCGCCTGCACCTGGCCCCTGTCCGCCGCCCAGGCCGGGAAGGGCGGGCCTGGACCCCCGCCAGCCCCGAAGGAGCGGCGGGGGAGGGGAGCCTCCTGCCTCGCCCGGGGGGAGGTCCGGGACCGGGCGGGGAAATCTGCCACAACCACCGGAGCGGCGGAGACGCGTCCGGGGGTCGGGCGGCTCGGCGCCCCTTCCCGAGCTGCGCTGGGCCGGCTCCCCCGGCCGGCCGCGCTCTCCAGCTGCAGGAAATTCCAGAAGCTCTCCATCATCCGGGCGCAGCGCGCAGCCCAGGCTGCCAAGGCTCCCCGAAGGAGAGCCACATGCCGGCCGGCCGACCGCGGGGCCCGCCCTCGCCCCCACCCTGTCCCACTCGGCCGGCCGGCCGGCCACGTAGCCCGGCCCGCCACCCCTTCCCGCGCCCCGGGGGCCCGGCGGAATGCGTGGCGGCCCCGGCTGGGGGCTATTTTGAGCGGGAAGGGGAGCGGCCCGGCCGCGGTGTTTTCGGCTTTTTTCCTGGCCCCCGGCCCGCTAGCCCAGGCCCTCGGCTGCCCGCGGAGGAGGGACACGTGGAAGGGGAGAGGAGGGCAGCCTCGATCCGGCTCCGGGCTGGGGAGGGCCCCCGGAGACAGCCGGCCCGACTTGCTTGGCTCTGCGGGCCGAGCGACGGGATTACTAATAGCGCCTTGCACGGGCGGTGGCTCCAGGGCGCCCGCTACCTGCACGCCCCTCCTCCGGTGAGCGCCGGCGGCCGGGGCACTCCCTCCCCAGCGGCGGACTCAGGCCTCACTGGATAGCGCCTTCGAGCACCAGTGGCCAATCACCGGCCTCGATTTCCTTACCTGTAAGTTGGGATGAGCTATCTGGCTTTATTTGGAGGGTACCATATTCACTTTGCTGTGCGCCTTTCCCCGGGCAAAACACTTTTCTTTTTCTTGGGGGTGAGGGGTGGGGGGGCTTAGTTTTAACATTTACAGAGTGAGCGGGATTTAAAAGCCCCCTTTTCAGAGGAAAAGTTCCCCACACCAGAACAATGTATTTTCATACAATACATTTGCATCTAGCGCCTACTCAATGTTGGTGGCCAACGGCGTGCACACTGGCTCTGCATTATCAGAATGAATTAACTCCATTAAGGTCCCAATAAAGATACAGTGTTTTTGCTCCGGAGGAAACCGAGGCTCGGCTAAGTGACCTGCCAAAGGTTAGACAATGGCCCAGCCCAAAGTCAGACAAACTGGCTTCAGAGTAAGAGGTAATGACTGACCCAAGACAAACCTGAAACAGAGGTGGGAATCACTCAGTTGCTTTTGACTAGCGGCAGAGGAGGTCCCCAATACAATCTTCCAGCTCTTTAGCACCCCATGCAGCCCTCTGAATCTATTCAACACCTACTATGGGACAGCTAGGGGGTCCCCAGGATAGTGTCTAAAAATGGGTACCCAACTGTCCAACAGCCCCAAAGACTGCACACTGCTCTCAAACGCTCATCTCAGACTACTAGGGCCCCGTAGTTCACTAATTTGTCAAATTCTAGACTCAACCCAGCCTCAGAGGTAAGGGGTATGGAGATGTGAAGGGAGATGACACGTGGGGGGGGGGCATCCTGTGACAGAGTCTAGAGCTGCTTCCTGCTCCCTCCACATCCCCCCCCCAGCAAGGGAACACAAAGGTTGGCAGTCACATAACCCCTCCCCTCCGCCCCGGAAACCTGGCAGTTTATTTCTGTCTCCGGGTCCCCTGTTTCCATAGAGTCAGCCCAGGAAGGCTGGCAGCAGCTGGCTTAGAGGGGCAGAGCTTCTGCTCCAAGGGTCCAGCTGCC